TTGTGTACGTAATTTTTTTTTATTTCTCTGCTCCATTTTCCAAAAGACGTATTCATGTTGCCAACTCCTATATTATTATTGCCAAACAGTGGATTACTTAGAGTAGCGAATCTCTTATAAAATCTTGGGTTTCTGAAACCTTCACAATGAACAGAGACTAGCACATGTGGGAAAACATCAAGTGCTTAGCAGGCCTTTTTTAATATGTAAAAAATAACAAGCAGCCTTCAAATTGTAATATCTGAGTCATTTGAGAAGAGCCTAGCAATAGCAATAGCATGTAGACTTATATACTGCTTCACAGTGCTTCACAGCCCTCTCTAAGTGGTTTACAGAGTCAGCATGATGCCCCCCAAAATCTGGGTCATTATTTTACCTACCTCAGAAGGATGGAAAACTGAATCAACCTTGAGCTGGTCAGGATTGAATTCCAGGCTGTGGGCAGTGAGTTAGCCCTGCAGTACTGCATTCTAACCCCTGCGCCACTACACAATAATGCCAACCATTTAATTCTACAAATTAATCTACCTGTCCCAATAAAGTCTGATTAGATAGACATATCTGGGATTTTCATTCTGATTATTGAGATTGGGATTGCATCCCAAAGGTGCTTTTTCGAAAGGCAATTGGACTTTTTTGTTTTTTCTTGAAGACGTTTGGCTTCTCATCCAAGAAGTTTCTTCAATTCTGACTGGTAGGGAAGGATTTATATTTCTTGCAGTCATCTAGTTGTTAGAAGTCTCCAAGTGGCCTCAACGATGGATTGAGGCTAGCCTTGACGACTGTCAGAGGGAGGGTTAACGACCAGATGACTTCAAGGAATATAAATCCTTCCATTCTCCACCATTCAATCAGAACTTAAGCTTCTTATATAAGAAGCAAAACATGTTCACGAGAAAAGAAAAGACCAGTTGCCTTTTGAAAAAGCACCTTTGGGACAATCCTGACCTGGGTGACTTAGAATCTCCATAGATGGCCAAGTGCATCCATTCACGTGCACTTTCTTTTCTTTTTCCTCACCTCTCTGTGTCATCTTGCTATATTTTTATTTAAAGGTTTCTCCCTCCATCTTACAAAATATGTCTGTATGGTGCTTATGGGAATGTTTTTGAAGTTCTTAGATATGTGCTGATATCCAAGATGAAATTTCTTCAATATGTGGTACTAAAGCTAAATCTGTGTTGCCTGCATCATTCACTCAAAATGCCTCGAAGAGTTGCTTTGCTGGATTGGTGAGGAGCAAAGCCCATTTCTACTACTACCTTAGTTAGGATTTCCCATCTTTTCTTACAATTTAATCTGCAAATAGGGTCAGAAAAAATTGGTTAAATAATGGTCAAGGAATTAAATTTTAAGGTATCGTTGCTTTAATGATTATCAATAACTTTACAATCATTAATTACAAAAGCAAATACAGCAATTATTTTACTTTGTAGAAGAGTAAAATGAATTTTCAGATTTCTAGATCAGAGTCCAGGTCACAGCCATTTTTCAAGAGACGGGTTTATTTGAGCGTGTGTGTGTGTGTGTGTGTGTGTGTGTGTGTGTGTGTGTGTGTGTATTTTCATTCTGTTGCAAGAGAACTGCAATTTATATCAAAATGGATATAGGATATAATTTGTATGCTGTGAGGCTTGCCCTTGCACCTACAAATCTAAATCCTTTATCAAATGGTTCTGTAATAAAACGTTTTTAAAAGTAGTTTTTATACCTCGTGGAATCATTCTAGAGAATTGGCAACATGGTGCCCCGGCGTACCCTGTACAAGATCTACATTCCCCAAAGTACATAAAAGTTCTGCTACTTCCTTGATGAGTCATAGCAGCCTCTAATTTGGGGAAGTAGGTCAATGAAGGTACATTGACCCTGACATTATTATTTTGCCAGTTCTTTTAAGTATTATCAAGTAAGTATTGCAATTCATTATTTGTTCTTTGACCAAGTTGAACAGATAGCCATAGCCAGTCAAAGAGGGTGCATTGAAAAAAGATAAGCCAGCTTGGATCTTGAGTGGAAAGTCATCAGGAAACTTCTGTGCTGGAAAAAATTCAGAAAATAATAATTTAAAAGTGATTAAGACTAAAAGGTAGAAAGCTTATTATATTTATAGCAGGGTTATAAAAGTGTTTATACACTTCATAAAACTGTTTAAACCTGATAAAGTTCATTGCAAGTAAAAAAAAAGTTTCATACAATGCCTAATTATGTCAAGTAAGGGTGAAATTAACTTCTAAAAGTGTTTAAATAACCGTTTTAACAAATTCACAGCAGAAACTATGATGTTTAACCATGATAGCTATGAATAGAATCATGAGACCTTGAAAGTATCTTTATTAGTAGCTTCAAAAGGACATTTGGCTTTCTGTAGATGGTACTGTTAATGCTGAACTAATCAGGACTGAACTGATCCAGCAAAACATATTTTCTCTTTCTCTGTATTTTACTGCTTACAAAACCTCCCATTGTACTGCTTTGTGGTATTAAATTGCTGTTAATAGTTAATAGATAGCTTCAAAGTATAAGTGACTCTCCATTCGTAGTACCTGATGACTGAATATCATATAAATATTTATATTTTCTTTTAGTATCAAAGTATAGTAATGTCAGAATACTTCCTCCTTGTATTATACGTATCCTGTTCAACTTTCTTAAAATCCACACTCTAGATCAATATTTTTCAACCTTGGCAACTTTTAAAATATGTGAATTTCAATTGCTGACTGGGGAATTCCAGGAATTGAAATCCAAACATCTTAACCTTGCCGACCTTAAGAACATTAGTTTCTCTGAATTAAAAGTTTCTCACAGCTGGTTTTGAACATCCAAGAGAATTTGGGACTTACATTTTTAGTACCTTGGTTATCTTGTTGCATTGTTCTTAAACCTAATGGAAATGTCAAAGGCGGTATAACTTAAACAGATTTGCCCAAACAGGTGTTCTTAATTAGTATCAGAATTCCTATGTAGCAGAAAGTACTATACTGAAGAAAGCTGAACTGTAAATTGGGACTCTGATATTTATAGAAATCACTTCTAAAATTTCTGAGCCTTAGTGCATACTTAGATTGGGCTAAACCCACACTGCATTTGTGCATTTGTGTATCAGTCATAAGGCAATTTACAACAATTAAAATATGAACTGTAAAACTATAGAACAGAATCACGAACATATGCAGTCACTGTCAGCACCACAGGAAAACTGTCACTGTAAATCTTCATAAGATGATATATCAGAGAAGAAAGGCTTTCCAACAAATTATTTTGGCACTATGCTGTTTAGGGCTTTGTAAATCCATACCAATAACTGACTAGTACAACTAATCAAGTACAGTATGGATATAACATAGTTATGTATTACCTAATGCTTTTAAACCATCCAAAACAATCTCATTTTACAGTAATATAGACATCATCACACCATGGATCATACTACATACAGGTTAACTAAAGATTGGGAAGTGAAAATAAACATTTGTAGGAGAAAGGCCTTATGAATTTCCAGGGCAAAACTTTAGCGTATTTCATTTATTTATTTGAGAAAATTTATATGGCCTCCCAACTCACTTTCAATGACTCCAAGTGGCTTACAAAGATAAAAGACCAATACAAAACCAATTTTTAATAAAGCAATAAGCGCCCTCCCAGTGACAACAATCAAATAAACTGTTTGATGGCTCCATCTCCCTCTGGAATCCTCAGGCCCATTGGCAAAACCAGATCTTCAGGACCTTGCAAAAGAATGTCAAAGTGGTGGCTGATCTTATCCCCTTAGGAGTGATGTTCCACAGGTAGGAAGCGACTATGGAGAAGGCCCTTCTTTTTGGTTCTGCTAGATGGACCTTTTTATTAAATCGGACCTGCAACATTCCCTCCCTGCTGTGATGGGTTGGGTAGATGTGGCTGGAAAAAGATGGTCCTTCAGATAACCTGGACCCAAGCCATGTGGGGCTTTGAATGTGACAAGCAGCACCTTGAATTGGACCCAGAAACAAATCAGTAGCCAATGCAGCTCCCTCAGAAGAGGTGACATCTGTGCACAACTAGGTCTGCACAAAACCATTTGGGCTGCCGCATTTTGAATCAGTTGAAGATTCTGGATTCTTTTCAAGGGGCAGTCCCATGTACAGTGAGTTGCAATAGTCCAGATGGGAGGTGACTAGGCAGTGGGTGACTATGAGCAGAGATTGTTGGTCCAAGAAAGGATGTAACTGGTGTACAACTTGCCATTGCACAAGCCCTCCTGACCACAACTGCCACTGCTCCTTGAGCAGGATTTGATGTGTCCAGGAGAACCTCCAGATTACGCAACAAGTCTTTTAAAATGAGAGATTTGGCCATCAACAACACCTTTGTCTTCTAAGGATTCAAATGTAATTTATTGGCTCTCATCAAGTCTATTGCTACCATCAAACATAACTAAGCAAATAAGAATGCTGTAATTGTTACGAAGGAAACCTAAACTGAAACCTAAACCTCACTGAATGTCTTTACATAGATATATCTAATACGTATACTACTGTACTGATAACTATTTTTGTATTTTTGTTACAGTACATAAAGTAATTTTAAGAGTACTTTTAAACTTCACTTTAGGAATTAAATTTACTTCTAAAATAATAAACAGTAGTCAGTCCCAGAGGCTTCCCACATCAACTTTCATTTTGAAATGCAGACGCGTCCTTATGATATAAAACCTTATGACATTTTAATTAGGAAAATAGATCATGCAATTCCATACGATGGAATAAATTTTCCAAGCACTGCTGCTTTGGACTACTGCATGTTCTTGTAAATTGGAATAAAAATGCATTAAAACTGGTCTAAATTAAATCAGTCTTAAGGTAGGGAGAAGGCTGGAAAGAGAGAAACTTGTTTTTAATTTATAGATGACCTTTCTTATACTTTAAATCTGGGCAAGGGAATATTTGTGTGCAGAAGCAACTGCGAGCAGCTCTTCCTTTTTTGGCGAGTCTTCTAAATTTGTTCATTTTCTGCCACAGGCAAAGGAGAAGATAGTGATATTCTCAGCATCAATGCCGATGCATACGACAGCGACATCGAAGGACCATGCAACGAGGAAGATAATCCAGATGTGCCAGAACGGACGGTTGGAAGTGGAGACAGTCAGATAGATGACCTTCAGAAAGACATTGAGAAAAGCGTCAATGAAATCCTGGGGCTTGCTGAATCCTCCCCAAAGGATTCCAAGGCGGCAGCTTTAGCAGTTCCTCCAACAGATGATGCTCAGCCATCAGCACAGCAGCTGGAACTCCTGGAGCTTGAGATGCGAGCAAGGGCTATTAAGGCCCTTATGAAAGCTGGAGATGTAAAAAAATAGCCGCAGGGCTGTTTCATTTGTTAGATAGTTGGATTTGCTCTGATGAGTGTAGGGTCAGCTTCTTTCCACTCTACGGTCTATTTGGACTCGTTTTGATATTCCTCATTCAAGCCCTTTGGGTATTCTAGCTCATAGCTGAAATAGTTGGCAGCAGTTTATCAGGGCCGTCAGTCTGCTTCTGTGACTTATATAAATGGATTGGTTTGATGCTGTGGTTTTTTTTTTCCACAGCTGTTCTTTTCCCCCCAGTTTGGATTAGATTATTTCCCAACGTGAATTGGAAACAGTCATTGGCAATATGGATGCAGCTAAGCCCTGTTGCTCTACGGACCAGAATAATCCCAGGATTGGCTCTAGCTTTTGAGGAGTTGAACCTTTGGTTGTTTTTAGGTAGCAGCTATAACTAAAGGGAAGTAAAATGTAGAAGCACCACACATTTAAGAGAGTATAGACAAGAAGAATATCTTGCATCATCATAATCATTTATGATGCTTTGTGATTGCTTTGGTGCCAGCAACAAATGATTATAACTCTATATGGTTTGAAATTAAATTTAATCCATGTCCCTCTTAATGGTGACCTTGGACATCTCTGTGTTATCTTATATTCTGTACAGGTTATACTTGTTCAATGACTGTTCAGAATTACAGTGGAACTGAATGAGGGGACCTATGACCAGTCCTTGAAGTTGCAGTCATTGCGGCATCCCCATGGTTATGTGATCACGATGCGGGTGCTCAAGCACCTGGGCGAGCTGCAGTCACATGGTCGCCATTTGCAACCTTTCCTGCCAGCTTGCCACAAGCAAAGTCAATGGAGAAGCTGGCAGGGAAAGTCACAAACAATTTTGCAAGTTGCTCTTGCTGCTTTTTCTCCTGAGGAACCCCATTAGGGAGTATGAGATACCAGGGGTTTTGTACTCCATAGCCTTTCCCAACCACCCTTTCCAGTGCCTACTCCTGGTTCTTGCCAGGCGGCCCACCACTCCCCATTGGCCACCTGCAGTACCCTCCATGCTCCTTATCTGCATAGTCATTAAAAGTTACATGGGGTTACAAAGGCAACTGGAATTACTGGGATTGTCATCCTAAGTGATGTCTCATGTTGTCACACGTTTAGTGATGGCAATACCAGTCCCAATTGCTGTCATAACCCTATAAAGCAACTTTTGGTGGCTAAGAGTAGATAAGTATGTAAATTGCAGAATGTAAATTGATAGTTAAATATAAATCTTTGAGCGTGGCTTAGATTGCATAATCAATATGATGAAGGTAAAATGTAAAACTCAAAGGATGCTACGGAGGCACCTGACTGTTAGAACAAGTGGTACAGAAGTACTTAATTTCTTAACCTGTAAGGTTCTTTTCTGTTCGTTATCAGTAATGTTTTAAAACTTCTCTTTGGCAAAGCAAAATTACATTTTCACTTAGTTTAGAGGGAATTGTGTTTCTTAAATATTTGGCTATTGTGAACTATAGAGAAGAGTAATGCAGATGTGAAATGTTAAAAGAAAAGTACTTTTGCTTGCACCTGCAAAATGCTTTGTAGTTCTTTGTTCGGGGCACATAGCACACCAATTTGAAAACACAGGTGGAAAATCAACATGTACAAATGACTGACAATAAATTGACTTATTAAGTGTAAATTCAGGAGCTTTTTTTCAATAAATTTTTTTGGGTCTAGTGGGGAATCCAAATTGGAGCAAGGCAGCGCATGCCAAAAGGGGAAGTATACTGAACTCAGTGTGGTTACTTGCTCTATGATACTGCAAAACAGAGAAGGAATAAAGACAGTCTGGTCAGGAAGCACTCATTTTATATTACCCTGTATTCTCCCACCTTCTTAAGCCTGGTTATTTTCTTACAAGGGGAAAAAAATGAAGATAATGGAATCAGGTAAACATCATACTAGAATAAAGAGACAAAGATGGGTCGGAAAAAAGGGAATAACTTTATTTCCTAGAGTGTGTAGGGCAGCTGACTGAGGGAGAAATCTAAGGGAGGAATGAATAGGAATTGGCCCTCTGGTGTTTCAGCAAATCCTGCCTTTAGTTTCCAGAAATGATCAGGGAGCCAAACACATCAGGGTTATTTAGAAGCCACATTTATGGACTCTAGTTAGGTAATGTTGGTTTCAACATTTGCAGTTTAAAAAGCAAAAACCTCTAACTGGGATATTTCAGCGAGTCCTTGTGAACAACGGAAGGAATCATAGGCAAATGTGATTGGAATGGTTTCATAGAGATTATAATTATGTTTTTTTATTAGTTTGGAAATATAAAATTGGTTTATATTTGTTTTCATGTAAGACTTGTTTGGAAAACTGCATTCATTAAATTTGTGAAACCAACACAATTCAAACAGTTCACTTCTCAGAAATATGTAGTATTATAGGCCTATTTAATTTTGTATTTGCTCAATATTAACATTAGTTTGGTACTTAATCACCTGATTCATGAAAGTTTTTTTAATGAACCGTCTAAATAATATTTAAGCCTTAAAGCTCGTTATTGTTAAGTACTTTTATTGCAGCATCTTCTTTTATGCAACTATATATTAAACAGTTCATGACTTTGTTTTTTTCAAAAAGTCAGGTTTAGACTCACTGTTGTCTAAAAGAATACAATGAGTGGGTAATCTTTCCCTTCTAGCTCACAGTGCTTCATACTTTTACATTTACTTTTACATTTTGTTTCTATATCACTGGAGAAAGCAATTTTGCTTGGAAGAGTTAGCTGTAAAAGGAAACTAGACTGTCAAAGAACATGGTGGCTCGACTCTATCAAAGCTGACACCAGCCAGAGCATAGAAAATTGAAAGAATTCAAGATCGGAAGATGTGGAGAGACCTGGCCCATAGAATCGCCAAGAGTCGGACACAACTGAACGGATAACTTCATGATCATCATTTGTTCCTATGAGGAAACAAATGGCTTTCGCCATCCTATAACCACCATCACTATGTGCAGCATCTTAAGGAGTATTAGAACAAGATTGTCTTCTGTTTTGGCTTCTGGTGGCGTTTACATCAGTGACAGATTGGAGATCGTGATCGTGCACGGCTTCAATCCGTGTTTACCCTGTTGGAGGGTCCCAAATGGGACTGGATGCACCTCAGAGGGTTGGAGAAAGAGGGGGAGATTGCCAGCTAGGTCGCAGGGAGCTGCATCTCCCCTCCCTGGCTAGGTATACTCCCCTTGAAGATAGGAGTAAGTGGCTGTCTTTAATGGCTGCCCTGAAGACGGGAAGCTATTCGGGAAATAAGATTGTGCTGGAACAGAGAAGATGCAGACAGCAGGGAGACCAGGCAAACTAGTTGACATATGGACACTAACCTGGAATTAAGCTAAAAAGAAAATTTTAAGAAAGAAAGACAGTAAAAGTGGTGACCAGAGAAAGTGTTGGGGGGGAATTGACAACTGAAAATGGCTTTGAACTTTGAAAGGAGCTAGATTCAAGGAGGAAGCCAGAAGAAAATACTTGTTTAAATTGGACAATATATGATTTTGGCACTAAATAGGCAAAATTAAAAGCTGAACTTGAATGTGTCAAAAAAAAAGAACGTTAATCGATAATTGGATTTATTGGATTTTTGGAATTTAAAAGCCTTAAACAGAAAAGAAAGGTGGGAAGGGGAGAATTTGGATATAACAGAGAGTGCCACCTAATGGTAAAGGAAATTTTTTAGTGACTTTAAAAAATGCCTGGTTCTTCCAAAAGTGGATTTTGATACAAAATAAGAGAAACTTTGTTACAACAAAATAGAAACCCTGGAAAGTGAAAAGTGAAAACATAGAATGCCAAAATAAAAGAAGTGTGGAGAAATTACTCTGGGACTGTTTAGTGATTTTGGCATAAATTTAAATCTATGGATATTAGACTGATGCACTTGAAAAAAACTTAAAGAGGAATTAACAGAAGTTAATTGTTGGAAATAAACATTCAAAGATGCTGGTTCAATTAAATTACAGGACAGTTGGTTTGGATTTAAAGACTAAAGAAAGGAATAAAGGGGAAAAAAAGTGTTTAAAAATGGCAGAACTTTTTATGGAACTAAAAATGGAACTAAGAAACATAAAAGAAATGTTACATGAAAGAGGTAAATCGTGCTGCCTCGCTTTGCAATCATTAGAAATGGCCATTTTGGAGTATGAAGAACAACAAGGAGTGCCAGGAGGGGAGGAGCTAATTAAGAAGCCAGCTTCAATGAACAAATGGAACAATGAACATTAAAGCAAAGTAGAAAAAGAATGGGAATTAAAACTTGGAGATTTGAGGAGGCAATTAAAAAGGGAAATGCTTTGAAAGCCAAACAAAGAAAATGGAAACAGCAGAAAAGGGGATTACAGAGGGAAATTTTAAAAAGGGAGGGGAATAAAATGAGTAAGAAAGGGAGGGAAAATGGGAGAAAAAAGAAGCAATAAGAGAAAGGATCAGGAAATAAGGAGACATGGAAATTGTTTAACAATGAAAAGAAATTGTTTAGTCAAGAGACATAGAGATAATGGGTAGGTAAGGATTAAGAAAGGATTCTACAAGGTAATGTGTAATATAATGGCATTTGAAGTAATAAATTATTTAGGAGACAGAAAAATAGATTTTCAAAATGAAAATATTGGAACTGATTTTTTTTATTACTAGACTACTTGTTTCTCTTAAATTACATATAGAGATAGATGGAATAAATGTGAAAAAGAGAAACTATGATAAGTATGCTAAATATGTTTAATAAATTTAAGAATATAATTAAAATAAATTATGAGGACTTATAAAAAGACTAACATCGGTTTTTTATGATTAATTGAATAAATTAATTTATTTAAAATTATATATGATTTAATGCAAATGAAGGGGAAAATACCATAGGGAATCTGGCCTAAAATGTATATGTGTTAAATAGTTATTAGGAGATTATTGTTATGAACTGTTAAGGTGATAATTAAAAAGTGATTTTATTGTGATACATTATTATTATGAATTAAAGAGGAGTTAACTAAATGATGTATAAGATAAAGGGGTGATACACTCAACTTAGTAATTAAAGGGGAAACTTTGAATTAGAATTAAGATGGAACTTTTGGAATAATGAAATATGAATATGTGATGAAATTGCAAATGTGACAGATTAAAATATAAAGTATAATGAATATGAAGATATGAGAACTATTTAAAATAAAAAGAAATAAGTTAAGAAAGGAATAGAAAATATATAAAATAAATTTGAAGAATATAAGAATATCTGAGAAAGTTTATAAAATATGAAATGTAATGATATGATATGATATGAAAGTAAATGTGAAAGATGAATATGTAACCAAAGTCATGTTTGTGTGGAAATGTGCAAACCTGGAACCATGCTGTTCACTGAGTGTATCCCAGCCTAGCCTTCTATCCTTCAGGCTGACCTTAAGTTTAATTATAATCCTCTGGTCTTGTGTATATTAATTTGCAATTCATCTGTGATGTCTTGGGATGTGGCACAAAGGCAACACAGTCACATAAGTAAAGAAGAGTCCCTTTAATACCTCCAACTTTGCCCCAATGTCCAGGTTACCTTTGGCTGGAGAAAAAACTCTCCCAAGAACGGTCTTTACGTGGAGGAAATTCAGTCTGAAAACAAAGTACAAACTGTAAATAAAAATCTACACAAACCATGCTGCAGTAATTAACTTGAAGAAGGAATTGCAGACTTGAAAGGTCAGCAAAACACACACGGTTGGGAAGATGCCAGGAACCCAGATAAGTCTACAATATCAGATAATTCATTATTTGCTTCCAACAGGTTGCTGTGCGCAGCTTTCCTTTTTAAACACTGTGTGCCCAGCTGCAGCTAATGAAGGTAATCAGGACCTTTTCCTCCCCTGTAAGCCACGCAACTCATGTTGCTCCCTTCCCTGTTCCATCCTGCCTGCCCTAGGATGAAGAGGGGGTGGGACTGGGTCTTTCTCCGAATTCCCTCTCCCTTGCTCTACTTGTCCCCTGCTCTGCCCAGCTGGACTGTGCCTTTCCCTAGTTTCTTCCACACTCCCACTCCCTGTCAGCTGCTCAGCCTTCCCCTCTGAATCAGATTCTGACAGGGGCATGATATCATTTGTAGAAAACTACCATCTTGTCATCTACCTGGAAATGCATAAGGTATGTTTTGCACAGATAGTCCTCGAGATAACAAACATTCATTTAATGACCATTCAACAATTACAACGACCCTGAAAAAAGTGACTTCATGATGAGTTTTTCACATGTGTGACCATTGTAGCATCCCCACAATCATGTGATCAAACTTTGGCAACCCATCATGTATTTACAATGGTTGCAGCGTTCCAAGATTGTCATTTGCAACCTTACTAGGGAGTTTTCTGACAAGCCAAGTCAATGGGGGAATTTATTTATTATTTATTTAGTGCATGGCAATGGGGAAGCAAGATTCGCTTCACCACCACAGGATTCACTTAAAAATGTCAGTAATCTGCTTAAAAACCATGGTAAAAAATGATCATACAATGTGGCACAATTCACATAACAATTGTCTTGCTTAGCAATGGAAATTTTGGCCTCCATTGTAGTCGTAAGTTGAAGACTACATAATACCTGTACAGCACCATTTCTTTTTAAATCAAGTTTGATGTTTCTCATCAGTTAGATTGTTCTGCCTACCAAGGCGGAAAAGAAGAGCCAAAATCTCTACTGAATGCTTCTAGGTTATGTAGCCAAAAGTTTCCATTGCAGAAATTGTTTCATTTTTGTTTTACCTTTTACCAATTAAAAGATAGCATAGAGTGTGACAATCCTATCTCACACAACTGGGAGGCGGATTTGTGTGTTGCTAGGTGAGGTATTCATGGAAGAGGAGTGGTGGCTGCAGGAATTACCATACCGATAACTCAAAGCAGGAATCAGGGCAAGGATGTGACAGGATCCAATCTGTCACCGGAACCAGAGGTTTAGTTTTCCGAGCTTTTGGACTGATGCTGGAGTCCATCCTCAGGGAACTTCTCTCCCACCAGAAGGATGAGACACACCGTACTTTTTGAAAGGGGATGTGAAATTTCCACTTCTAATCTACAAGCTGCAATGTTCCACTACAACCTGTCTATTAAGCAGAAGCTGAACAGGATAAATGTCAACAAACCAAACCAATCAACAGAGAATTCAAATAAGAAATGGGCAACATCCCTTTTCATTGCGCCAGTCCTGCAAAGCTCAAATGAATGAAGATTTGGTTAAATATCTTAAGTAGTATTTGCAAACCTCTCCCTGTTAGTATTTTTGCCATTGGATCGTTCTTAGGGGTAGTTTTTTTTCCTCTGGATTATGTTTAATTCATATTATACAGCAATTCAATATTGATAGTTACACTAAATCTTTTTTTAAAATCCAAATATTTCTAAGTTGTTTTAATGACCCATTTCATATATAAGTATTTTTTTTGTGTGTGTGAGGGGCATTGCAGGAGATTTGTAAATAATCTACAATAATACCATTGTAGATCCCTTTTGAAAATGTTGGCACAGCATTGAGCTCAGACTTCTTGGCATCTTTCAGATGTGTTGGGACTATAATTCCCAGAATTCCAAGGCCAGCAGCAAAGTGACATTGATTTTCTGTTGCTGGCATTTGGCATTTAATAAACCAAAGTCAATGGCATCTCAATTGCAGTACTGTAAAACTAGCAAAACCTACAAAAACCAGGGTAGGTTTTGTACACATGCATGACTGACAAATTTATTGTGCGAACAAAAATTACATTCAGGGCAACTAAAGACATCTATCAAAGAATAAATTAACTGGTTTTGCTTTGTGCTTGAGACTTTGCCAGCAGACAAAGGTGCTCTTTTAGGAAGCAACTGGACTTTGTTTTTTTTCTTTTGAAGGCATTTCGCTTCTCATCCAAGAAGCTTCTTCAACTCTGGCAGAATAGTGGGGAATAGAAGGATTTATATTCCTTGCAGAATGCTGGTCATTTGCAACCCTTTAGGGGGTCATTGAACCACTTGGAGGTTTATCTGTCTTCTCAGGGTCACCTGAGCAGTGCCCGTTTCCCATAGTTTTTTCCTCTGGAAATCTATTCCTACTCCCACACCCTTCAAGGAGTGTTCATCCCAAATTGTATAGCTAAAAGTCTACAGAGATTCTCAGTCATCCAGTCATGGTGATAG